TCATCATAATTTTTATTTATACCCTGCCCTCCCCAGCCAAGGCCGGGCTCAGGGCGGCTAACAAGCAATAATAAAAACAAGTTGAATGAATACAACTTAAAAACAAGATTAAAATACAACATTAAAATATTGAAACATTAAACATTAAATATTAAAACGCCGCCTCCTCACAGGAGGAGAAAGGAAAAAGGAAAAAGAAAGAGAGGGAGGGAGGGAATCAAATTGGCTCCAAGCCAAAGGCCAGGCAGAACAACTCTGTCTTACAGGCCCTGCGGAAAGAAATCAGATCCTGCAGGGCCCTGGTCTCATGAGGCAGAGCGTTCCACCAGGCCGGAGCCAGAGTTGAAAAGGCCCTGGCTCTGGTTGAAGCCAGTCTAACTTCCTTAGGGCCTGGGACCACTAGGGTGTTGCCATTTATGGACCTTGAGGCTCTCTGTGGGGCATACCGGGAGAGGCGGTCCCGTAGGTATGAGGGTCCTAGGCCGTGAAGGGCCTTTACATACATATTCAAAGTATCACACACACACACACACACAATATTTTACATTAAAGTAAATGGGAGTTATATTGGTGTTGGTGGGTGAGCCTGCATCCAGTGCTTTGGAAAAATCAGTCAGTCAAACTCATTGTATACAGCCATAGGTCTTCATAACACCACAGGGCAAAAAGGAAGACATTCATCTAGAATCAGGCAACACAAATGTAAAATTCCACAGCATAAAATTTTGAAAGCACAACGCATTAACACAACTGAAGCAAAGCTTCTTAGCTGCCAGAGCAAATTTGGCTACCAGATGTGTAATTTGTATGTATTTATCGTCTAAGAGTTCAACGATCACTTCCTTGGGGGATTAATCTGAGAGGGGATTAATCTGAAAACAACAACTCTGGTCATCGTATATAATGGGCAAATCAACAAATAGTGCATGATGTCCTCAACCTAGTTACATCCATAGGTGCATTTCTGGTCCTATTTCCAAAGGTTCTCCCCCTCCAAGCATGCTGAAGGCATCGGCTGAAACCTAAGTTCAACAAAAGCCCTGCATAACTGTGGAAAAGGAAGCGTCTCCAGATAATGGGGCCGTGAGTGGTTGTCCTTGATTTGAGAGTATCAAGCAGAGCAATGAGCAGTGATAAGGAGTGCTCTGTCTTGGCTGGCGCCATGGCTGCCTGCCAGGGATTGTGTTATGTCCTTGGGTATCTGCAGAAGGGAAGATGGCAGGTACCCCAGGGAAACTGGCTTCAAGCACTAGGCCTGTTGGCAGTTCAATGCTGTGCTACAAAGATGTCTGCAAACGTGACATGATCCCTTGCAAGACAACTGCAGTACCCGGAGACAGACAGTCGGGTCTTGCATCCACAGCAGTGACCAGAGGAGAAATGACTGCTGGGAGGAACGCAGAGAAGAAATGCAATTGTGCATCTGCAGTAGCACAACTGGATGCCTTCATCTGCTCCAGCTACAACAAAACATGTCTCTCATGCAGTACCATTGCTATGGGTGGGGGTGGGGGCTCCCAGCCGGGGTTTTTTGCCCTGGGTGAAACCTCCAGAGTGGCACCATTGAGGTTCCCAGCCTCAGTGTGTGTGTCTGTGTATGCAAATGCATGTTCACGGGCCTTTGACCCAAGGCACATAAAACCTAGTTTAACCCCTGCTCTCCTGTATTGGTCTGTACAGCCACAGCAGGCAGGGGCAAAACTAGGCTTTCTTTCATCTGGGTCATGGACCCAGTTTGGCACATACCCCATGCACATTTGCCCCCACACACACAGGCTGGGAGCCTCAATGGAGGCTTCACCCAGGGCAAGAAACCTAGAGAGCCAACCCCCTGCCCTGCCCCCAGCCCCATAGCTATGCACTGCAGCGGTCGCTGTAGCTCTCCAGTAGTTTGACTTCACCCCCAAAGGCCCACTCCTCCATTATCTCCCAAGGCAGAGGGATGCCAACCAAACCATCAAACAGATGGGATTTCAATGATAAGTAATCCTAAATTTTAAACATATGTACTTGTTCGTGAGGGACGCGGGTGGCGCTGTGGGTTAAACCACAGAGCCTAGGACTTGCCAATCAGAAGGTCGGTGGTTCGAATCCCCGTGACGGGGTGAGCTCCCGTTGTTCGGTCCCAGCTCCTGCCAATCTAGCAGTTCGAAGCACCTCAATCTGCAAGTAGATAAATAGGTCCCGCTCCGGCAAGAAGGTAAACAGAGTTTCCGTGCACTGGTCTGGTTTGCCAGAAGCGGCCTAGTCATGCTGACCACATGACCTGGAAGCTCCCTCAGCCAGTAAAGCAAGATGAGCGCTGCAACCCCAGAGTCGGCCACGACTGGATCTAATGGTCATGGTCCCCTTTACCTTTACCTTTTACTTGTTCGTGTATATGACCATCTAATGGCCACCTGGACTTAGGAACCCTCTTACCAAATATGACAAGCTTGGTTTTATAATAATTTACTTTTAGCCATTCCTTTTTACACAGTTGCCCAAACATGGGTGTAAGGTAAAGGTAAAGGTACCCCTGAGTGTTAGGTCCAGTTGCAGGTGACTCTGGGGTTGCGGCACTCATCTTGCTTTATTGGCCGAGGGAGCCAGCGTTTGTCTGTAGACAGCTTCTGGGTCATGTGGCCAGCATTACTAAGCTGCTTCTGGCGAACCAGAGCAGCGCACGGAAACGCCGTTTACCTTCCCACTGGAGCGGTACCTATTTATCTACTTGCACTTTGACATGCTTTCAAACTGCTAGGTGGACAGGAGCTGGGACCAAACAACAGGAGCTCACCCCATTGCAGGGATTCGAACCACTGACCTTCTGATCAGCAAGCCCTAGGCTCTGTGGTTTAGACCACAGCACCACCCACGTCCCTCAAACATGGGCGTAGTAAATCAATAAAACACACTTAACTAACTGAGGCTCTGCCTCTCCCCCCCAAGATAAATCCTAGCTACACCCATGTGCCTGGATTTAACTAGCATCCTTCTAAGTCCAATTTTATTCAAAGAAAGCAAAACTAGGTTATCAGCAGTGCTTTTTTCCTAAAAAAAAATGTTTAGGGGACAGCAGTCACGAAATTAAAAGATGCCTGCTTCTTGGGAGAAAAGCAATGACAAACCTAGACAGCATCTTAAAAAGCAGAGACATCACCTTGCCAGCAAAGGTCCGTATAGTTAAAGCTATAGTTTTCCCAGTAGTCATCATCATCATCACTTTTAATTTGTATGCCGTCTTTCTATCTTACAATACCCAAGCTGAAGAAATGCAATACAAAAATGTGATAAAAAGACATAACTTTAAAACAAGCAACCTACATGAAATAAAGTAACATTCAACAACCATTAGACTAGTATAGAATAATATTAAATATCGGCATATAAAAATTAAACAGAAATACACTATTAACAATTACAATAAATAATTTCTAAACTACAATCAATAAAACAACAGCAAGCCACAGTGCATAAAATAATACAATACAAACTGAGAAGCAGAGACTGGAGGGTGGGGCAAGGCAGGTGGAAGAAGGCCTTGCCTGATGAAGTCTTTCCCCTCACCACTTAAGGACTTAAAAGCTTTCTTCCTATTTAAAAGGGATATCTACACAGTAACAAACCCAAGTATTAAAAAAGTATTTTTTAAAAAAAGTATTTAAAAAGTATTTAAAAAGTGATGTATGGATGTGAGATCTGGACCATAAAGAAGGCTGATTGCCGAAGAATTGATGCTTTTGAATTATGGTGCTGGAGGAGACTCTTGAGAGTTCCATGGACTACAAGAAGATTGAACCTATCCATTCTTAAGGAAATCAGACGTGAGTGCTCACTCAGTAGCATTGCAATGGGGTGGGGGTGGGGGGCGGGGGCGGTTGCGTCCTGGGTGCCATGTCGGGGGGGTGACAAGAAGGCACCCCATGGGGGCTCGCCCCACCGCGGCATCACGAGCAACCATTGCACCGCTGCAGGTGTATGTGGAGGATATCCCATTTGCAGCTGCAGCTGCGAGCAGAGGACATTGCGCTTTGCCACCGGCGCTGCTTGAGTCCGTATGGACGGCAGTGGGATCCCTCCATCGCCACTACAGCCACATGTAGAGGATCCTCTGTTCGCGGCTGCAGCCATGAGCAGAGGATCCCGGCACTGTCCGTATGGCACTGGAGTGGCGCTGGGGGCAAACCGCTATGTACAGTGCATGTGCAGCATCGCTACATACAGTGCATGCGTCGTACGTAGCAAGGCTGCACATGCGGCCTACGTAGTGACGCCCCTCCCCAGGTGTCACAATGCCTTCGTTCGCCCCTGTGCTCACTGAAAGGACAGATCCTGAAGCTGAGGCTCCAATACTTTGGCCACCTCATGAGAAGAGAAGACTCCCTGGAAAAGACCCTGATGTTGGGAAAGATGGAGGGCACAAGGAGAAGGGGATGACAGAGGACGAGATGGTTGGACAGTGTTCTCGAAGCTACCAGCATGAGTTTGACCAAACTGTGGGAGGCAGTGGAAGACAGGAGTGCCTGGCGTGCTCTGGTCCATGGGGTCACGAAGAGTTGGACACGACTAAACTACTAAACAACAACATTTTCCTACTCATGTTGAAATACTGCCCCTCAATGAGGCCAAACTTCGATTTACAAAATGTTTAGGCGTATGCATACCCCCCAATGTCCCGCCAGAAAAAAGCACTGGTTATCAGTATACTGTATAATGGAATGAGCACTTCACACTTTGCAAAACATGGGATGCCATATCAGGAATGCAATTGTTGATATAAAAATTAAGTAAGAATGGTGCCAATATATATCCTTGCTTTAATCCGCTTTTAATAGGAATTGCCTGTGAAAGGGCATATTGTAATTGTAATCCTATGCCTTATGCATAGGAGCCAGATTCTAGGAGCACAGGTGTATTTGGCTTCCCAATTAAATATTTGAAGACCCCAGGCTCCCACAAAGTTAAAGGGCCCTGCCATTCAATGGAGTGCGTGCACTGCGTCATGTGATCAATTACGCGGGGGGGGGGTGTATGTGGGTGCAAATATTCAATTCAAGTCGGCACTCCTGGCCTGATGTAATTGTTGGATAAGCCAGAGAAGTCTTTTTTGTCACTGTTTGATCGAAGCAATTTGTTCTATAACCTGAGCTGCATAGGGATCGGGTCCCTCTCTCCTCTCCCGCCCACCTGCGAACACTTTTCCGAAGCGCGGCGGCGCTACAGTCTCCACCCCGTCCCCGGCTGCGCGCCTCCCACCTCTCCGTACATTGGGTCCCAGCTCATCCTGCGCCCGCCCCGGCTCCACCTCCTCTTCCTCTTTATATTCGCTCGCCTGGCCTGTTCCGAGTCCTGTTCCTTTGGATTCTTGCCTCGGATCTTTCTAAGCCAGGAGCTACCCCAGGAACTAACCGAGAGACCACCGAGAGACCACCGTCTACAGATCCCGGACACCCACGGCGAGCGCAAAAGTACAAGCCAGGATGAGTCAAGACGAGGCGGCGGCGGCAGCGGCGGCGGCGGCGGGCAACGAGAACGCAGAGGCCGAAGACCCGGGTCTGCTTATGGCGATCCTGAGCTCCCCGCTCAACCTGATGCTGCTGGGCCTTTGCTGCTACCTGCTCTACAAGATAATCCGGGGGAATCGGTCCCAGACCATCCAGAAAAGAGACGACGAAGACGGGCCGCCGCTGCCCAAGCTCAAGCGCCGCGACTTCACTCTGGAAGAGCTGCGCCCCTTCGACGGCGTCCAGAACGAGCGTATCCTCATGGCCATTAACGGGAAGGTCTTCGATGTGTCCCGCGCCAGGAAGTTTTACGGGCCGGGTATGAGATTTTTTTGCGCCCTTTCAGTCCCTAGTTGCAGCGGGGGGGGGGGGGCGGGGGCGGGGAGCGGGGCAGGCAGGCAGAAGTTCGTTGGGGGGGGGGGAGGAGGAGGGTGGTGGCGTGGTGGTTGCGAATTGTGCAATCTTGCATGGCACGCTCCGGGTCAGTCTGCCTGTTGAGTCAGTTTGCTTTACCTACCGGCAAGGCCACTTTGGGCTAGCGTTGGAAATTGATTCAGTAGAGTCTTTCCAAACAAGTCAGTATTTCTTATATTGTAAGAGAGCAATTAGTCGCTTGCCGGAAAAGCCAGTTAAACTGGCAAATGTTGCCTGTACGTGTTTGCTGAGAGGTCTACTCTAGAGGTTAGCCTGGCGGGGCTTTTGCTCGCGGGGAGGTGTCTCGCTTTGCAGTCGAATTCGGTTTTTTAAAAAATATATATGTAGCTGAGATGATATTTTCGAAGCAGAATGCTGTTGGGTCTAGGTTGAGGTTTGCGAGGCTTGAGCCTGCTTGTGTTTGCTCGGAAGAAAGTTCCACAGATTTCGGTGTCGCTTACTCAGGAGGGAATTGGGTAATAGCCAAGCTGCCATAGGCCATGTCTAGACTTACTGAGCAGTTAATATTTGCTCCCGAGTAAGCTTTCGTTGGATCGGGGTATTTCCCTCCGTGCTGATCACCACTTTATATCAATCTGGAATAACCAGTACAATGGCAGCATTTGTTAATTTCCTCCCAAGAATGTATAATTTAAATCCAGGCTTCTGCTACAAGTTTGCATTTGAAGAATTTATTTTCTCTTTTCACTATCTTAATTCTGAGTTAGGTGTTGTGGTTTGGTGTCAGTGCCTAAAATCCTGACCCATTTGCTAAGTAAAAAACTGCTGCACCTGTAAATAGTGATTAAAATTGGGTGGTCTCATGCTTTGATGGCACCTCTAATGATTTGTGGGTCGGCTGTTTCGTTGGGGCTCCATAATGTGTTGCGCCATCTACTTTCTCACTGTGTGTAAATATGAATTAAATAGTTGACCATTTTCCAATTGATCAGCCATCCTGATTGAAACTGTGTGAGAGAGGGATTTAAACTGTTGACAGGAATGGAGAAAATATTTATGTATTGTTATTACATTGTCATCAATTTACATGGCACTTTGGAGCAGTTTCCCAAACCTGGGTCTCCAGCTGTTTTTGGACTACAGTCCCCATCATTCCTGACCACTGGTCTTGGTAGCCAGGGATGGTGAGAGCTGTAGACCCTAAACAGTTGGAGACCCAAGTTTGGGAAACATTGCTTTACAATAGGGGCAAGGAACGTGGAGGCCCAATGCCTCTCTGTAAACTATTCTTTGTTCCATCCCCTCATTTGAGTGCTTTTGTTGGTTGGAGAGCATTATTCAATGGTGATACTGTCTGTCCACCTAGGCCAGTACAGTCTATTCTTGACCTGCAGCGGGCTTTCTGTGCAAAAAGCATGGGTAGGGGGGGCTGGGAGAGGGAAGGTGTGCACACCTGACTTGCGGTAGGGAGCAGTTGTGAAGCTCTGCCCCAGTTGTGATAGGAAATAGAAGCTGAGAGATGATTGTGAAGTGGGTGATGTTCAGTCGCTTCTTTGTTTCATTTTAAATTAGCAGCCAAAGCCCTTTAGGACTCCAGAGATTTGTTTGCCATGGTCCCCACATTAAAGTTGTGCCTGAAGCTTAGAACTGGTGTGCTGTTTCACAAAACCAAGATTTGTGTGACTCTGCAAAACGGGTTTCCAGGGCAGTGGAAAGAGAAACGCAGAACGTGAGAGGCAGGTAGAAATTTGAAGGAAATCATGTTGGGTACACATATGAAAGGTTAGCATCTGGACTGGTGTCGGGTACAAGAGGTGGGCAGAAGATAGATCAGGCTGTATTAATATCTCTGGGTGATTTGCAGATTGGTATGGAATATCTGCAATTCCATCCAGAGATGTTAATACAGCCTGATCTACCTTCTGCCCACCTGTTGTTGTAGACTGCAACTAAGCTGCAGAAATGGGGGGGGGGGGGGACCCTTATTGGTAAGGAGCAGGCGTTTATTGTGAAAGTATTGTGTGCTCAATTCAGTTCCGGTGTTGGAAACAAATTCCTAGGCTTGGAATGCACTAGGGAGGCACCCCGTTCAAGGCACCACCTTGCTTTTTTCATTAATGCTATGTGTGTTGTGTGCCTGGCTCTTCAGTGGTAAATCCAACAATTTCCTCATCTTTAGATTAAAATGCTCAGGTACTGGGAACACTGGGAAGAGGTACACTGAAACAGCCTTTCCGATGTAAGGAGAGACTCTGCCCAGTTCCCTTCCCCCTTGTTTCCCTGCCTAACCAGCCAGTCTTGTTTTGTAGAGGGGATTATACCCCAGGCACTGAAAGAGGGAGGGAGGTGACCACTCTGGCCTATTGTCTCTTTCTAGCCCCTCTCAAGGTGAGCTTTGCTTGGCATGCAATCCCTGTGGTTGCACAAGACCCAGAGGCTTCTCCCCAAACTTTCTCCATTCTCAGTGTGCAGTCGCAGGATCTATACAGAACCCTTTGTATAGCTAGCTAAACATATACCATGGCTCTTCCACAACTTTTGGATGGATGATTATGATTAATTGTGGCCCGCTCTTTCTGCAAGAGCCTGGGGCCTAACTAGACTTGTGCAGGCAAATGAATGTTAACAAAATGGCAACAAACTGTTTTGTTGTTGTTGCATGGAAGTAAGAAAGGATTTTATTTCCAAAATAAAAGTTTCAATACAAGCAGCAGAGGTGGGGGTGGGGAGCTGAAGCACCCTCTTAACCTCATCCATACCTCTCCCCCAATCACTTCACCACAAATTGTCCCCCTTCTATTGCTGATTTACAGCAAGGTAGCCATGGGTGTTTTCTCAGAGCTGCATACTTTGGAGTTCCTCCTATTTAATCCTCTCAACAAGCCTGCAAGGTAGGTTAGACTGAGAGCAATTGCCAGAATGTCAACCATAACTGATAGGAGATCTGAAGTCCCCAGTGAACTCAGATGCAACATGCCACTGAAGCTTGGAATGGCTTCAAAGTAATCTCCACTCATACCTTTTTGCTCCTGGTCAGCAAGCACTTTAATCTTTCGCCTGCCAAAACTTTCTATGTCCCTAAATGTTGTTTGGCAAATATTGTTTGGCAACAGTTTCATATGGCCTACTTTTTGCATAGTTTCTTTCTGCTACTCCTTGTTCGTTATTCACAATGTGCTGCCTGTTGTCTGTTGTTGTTTACTTCTCTTTCTCACCCCCCTCACCCCCATTCCCTCCCCAAGCATAGATCATACTCTTCTTGAAAGTGTCTCAGTAATTCCTACCAGGCAGCTTCAGAGCCTGGAATTTATAATCCAATCTTAATGTATGTTTCTAGACCTCATGATGAAAGTGAATCTATGTTGGGGAAATTGAAGGGGATTCCCCCCTCCTCCCAAATTTTTTTTTTAAACCCACAGATTTTGATTGTACAGAAATTTTAAAATAAAATTATGGTGTTCCAGCAACAGTTCAGAGAAATCAGGGAGTGATGAACTAGGAAAGTTACTGATTTACACTTTTATTGTCTAAAGTCCATAGAGAAGCCTGCCAGAATTGCATATACAGTGGGTGGGGGTGACCTTGCCCATAATGCCTGTGCTGCTAACTCAAGACTTCCCCTAGGAAGAGAGATGGGGAGCTGCATTTAATTCTAAGTTTTGGTGCAGACCAGGAATATGAAACCACTGGCCTCCCACAGGTCCCTGACCAGCAGCCATTCTGGCTGGAAGGAGTACTGTTTCTACATATTAGCAACACACACACACACATATATATATATTGGCCTATCCTGACCTCTTTTTCTTAATGGTGAGTGCACCTGCTCAGAAAAAAAGCATTTTGGTTCCAGAAATGCATTCTGACTGTGCAGATAAAATACAGCTGATAGAATTCTACAGGGTGTGTTGCTAATGTGTAGAAACAGATCCAATGATCCCCAGGTGGAGATGTCTGGTGCCATCCGGGCACCCAGGCAGCTTCACTTAGTCACAAGTGGTCAAAAGCCAGGTATCTGGGTAATTTCGAACACCTGTTTTAAGTACTCATGTCAGAAGTTTAGAGGCCAAATGGGAGGGGATGTGAGTGCAGGCATTTGGCATGTCATGTATACTTGACCTTGTTATCAAGTCCTTATGGTCAGGCAGGTATCAGCATTCTAATATCTCACTCTTTTTCTCTGAAGATGGTCCTTATGGGATTTTTGGTGGAAGGGATGCATCCAGAGGCCTTGCCACCTTCTGCCTGGATCGAGAGATACTGAAGGAGGGACATGATGATCTTTCTGATCTTGATGCCACCCAGAGAGAGACCCTGAGCGACTGGGAACAACAGTTCGAATGTAAGTATTTCAAATGTTGTTGCCCCAAAACTTTTAATCTTTTACACCCTCCCACGAGATCATATTGGTCAATAACTGATTATGGATTGGGGATTGAACCCATCTCTCTTTTTTCCTAAACGAGTTGGCCATTGTCTTCCAGATGAATTTGTTTTACATTAGCATTAACTAAAAACAGTGCTATTAGTACGATTCCATACATAGCACGATTCCAAGCATCTTTGCTTAGAAGCAAATCCCTGAAGACAGGTTTGAGGAACCTTTGGCCTTCTGGATGAAGTTGGGACTACAGCGCTCATTCCCGACCCTTGGTTCTGCTGGCTGAGGCTAACTGGAGTTTGTGAGTTCTACATCATCCAGAATGCCACAGGTTGAAGTTGAATGGAATTGGTTCTTTGGGAAGTGCAGTTAGGATTGCTGCCGCAAGACAGAGGAGCTATTTTAATGCAAACCCATGGAATTTTTCTGCAGGTATTTGCATAAAAACTTGTCATCTTCTTGGCACACACAATCCAAATTTTCCTGTTGCAGAATCTAAACAGAACGGGTTTCTGTTGACTTCACTATTGGTATCAAGGATGTTCTAACCTTACATTTAAAGCGACACCACAACTGCCTCCCCCAAAAGTGTTGGTACCCAAAGTTTGTGGATGTTTACTAAAGTATTTTTCTTTGGTCTTCATTCAGTTAAATACCACTACGTGGGCAAGCTGCTGAAGGATGGGGAAGAGCACACTGTATATTCAGATGATGAAGAAGGAAAAGCCCAAGGAGGAGGAAAAGCCCAAGAAGAAGGAAAAGCCCAAGAAGAAGGAAAAGCCCAAGAAGAAGAGAAGCCCAAGGATGCTCAGGCTCGCAAGGATGATTAGTGGAGAACGATCTTGAAATTGTTATGGGTTTTTTTTTTTAAATCTTGCATTCCGATTTTCTCTCAGTCTAAACACCAGTTTTGGTTTTAGAAATAGTATGTGAATTATCTTTAATTAAATACATTTAAATCTACATTCCTACATAACCTTACCAAGTCAGCACTAAACTTCTGAAAGATAATGTGATACAAATCTGGCAATGGGGTTACAACAGAACCCAGTTCTTTGGTAAATAAAGGGGACAGCCACCCAAGTCTTGATGCTGTGCAGTTTCCATACATTTAATGGTGCTTTCCAAAAGGCCTCCAGCTTGGTAGATAGCAGGTATTTGTTAAGGTAGAGTTTTTCTCCCTTTCCTGTATTCACGGTGAATCGAAGGGGATCAAAAAGCTCTCCATTCCTTTACAGCAGCAATGTTGTCGTTATTTTTTTTTTTAAAAAAAAATCTGACCTCTGTTTATTAACTACAGCTCCACCATAACCCATATTCGGGCACATATTCTCAATTTATGTCTACTGCAAGTTGCTTCTGTATGGTTTACTCAGAATCTTGATTACTGTTAATATTTGGGAGTAGGGGCTATTATATGGTTCCTTAGTAATGTATTGCTCCAAATATGGGGTATATATAAACATCTGCCTTTGCTGGGTCAACCCAATGGCGAAAGCCCCTGCATCAGATTTCACTAGAACGGTCTGGGAGCAAGCAGGATCCATGAACACTGGACCTGGAAAAAATCCACCAATGCAGCCTCGAACAAATGGTAAAACAACAGCTTCAAAACCTGCAGAAAGACTTGTTTAGGTCTGAGGAATATCTTCCTTGATGTTAGTGTATGTTGTGGAGCCTAGATTAGATAGCCATACTTCATGTATGGCTTAAAATTTGATTTTGTGAAGCCTGAACTGCATCCGTAGCTGAGAGGTTCTTTGGAAGCTCACCAGCATACACTGATTACAGTGCTTAAGGATTAGACAACCATTACTTCAAAGGTGCTTGGCTCACCATTACTGTACAGCTGCAGGGTGCTCTGTACCACAGAACCCTTGCAAAGTGCAGAAGACAAAAATGAAATTAGGATTGGCCTTACTATGGGTAAATAGCTTGAAACAACAAGCACACAGACCTATTTAGATAACCCCAACAGTGGGAATGATTGGATTAAGGTTATTGTACCAATGTGTTTTATTTTTTACATGACTTAGTTTCTTTCCTGCATTCTTTATACAAAGCAATAAGTGGTGTCTCTTTGAATTTCCAGTATGATAAAGAACAAAAGTTCAGCTGCTGCTGGATATTCTCAGTTTCTAATGCAAGATTTTGTTAGATTTTTTTGTCACTTGTTGGGTGAAGTATATCATGACCTACCCCTGGAAGGTTAACTGATAGTACACTAAATGATGTTTAATTGTACCGCTGTGTCTCTTGGGGGGGTGTTTCCAACTCAAGACGCATGCATTTGTTTTCTAAATGGCAAAATAAAATCTTCCTTAAAAGTTGGCGCCTCATTGTCTGATTGAAAACTAACCAGCAGTAATTAGCACTCCTGTGTCACAGGAAATGGAAGTGTTTATAATGGAATCTCTCACTTGTGTGCCTTCCAATGCTCCTCATGAAATAAGCAGTGGGTTTCTAATCAGATATTTATTTCAGTCTTCACACATTCAGTAGAGCAAGGCTGAAGCTACTTCACAGCTTTTCAACACAATATAAGAAGTTGGGTAAGAACAGCCCTGTGGAAGGGCAAGATACATAACTTTCTATAACACATACAACACAAGCCCTCTCTCCAATGTACTGGTTTGTTCACACAACTAAGGTGTTCTTATTCTATTGACAAGAGTCAACTGAAGCCACTAAGCAGAAGATTTTGGGCACCATTGAGTGGCAAAGCATCATTTAAGGAAATATTTTTGAGGCCTAACCCCTGCTATCAACACAGATTTAGGCTGGCCCAGGGCAGCAACCAGATCAGTGATAAAATGGTTAATAACAGAAGTAATTGCATACACTCATGGCTAATACTTTTTTAAGTACAGTGGTACCTCGGGTTAAGAACTTAATTCATTCTGGAGGTCCGTTCTTACCCTGAAACTGTTCTTAACCTGAAGCACCACTTTAGCTAAAGGGGCCTCCTGCTGCTGCGCCATTTCTGTTCTCATTCTGAAGCAAAGTTCTTAACCCGAGGTACTATTTCTGGGTTAGCGGAGTCTGTAACCTGAAGTGTATGTAACCTGAGGTACCACTGTACGTGACAACAGCGGCAAGAGTTTTGATTGCTAGCTATTGGAAAAAGGATAGCATTCCAACAAAAAGAGAATGGCTGGGGAAACCACTGTACTGTATTTTAAGAACTCTATTTTTCAGCCAACAGTATTCCCCCCCAAAAAAAACACTTAGGAAAGCAGGAATGATTTTAAATCTCCCCTGAAAATTAAGAAGTTTTCACCCAATTAAAAAATATGTATTCATATCAAGTTTGAATTGCACTTGAACTTTTTCTCCAACATAGCACATTCAAGTAGGGTAGTAGGCTTTCAGTTAGAATTCCAAAGGTTATGACTAGGTTTATAACTATTTTAGGGTAATAAATTGACCACACGTTTTTTTGGCTTTGTACCTTTAGACTCCTTTTGAACTACTAAAAAGTTCAGAGATAGGAAATTAGACAACACAAAGAAATTTGCACATGCTATATATAGTGCTCTCTCTTAATTTCTGCAAGTTGAAAGTAGTTTCTGTAATAATGTTGCATGGAATTGCATGGTGTCTTGCCTCTGTAATGGACTGGATGAGATCCAACAAACTGAAGCTCAATCCAGATAAGACTAAGGCACTGTTTCCTAGACCAGATGGGTGGGAGGTGGCTTGCTCTCAAAGGGTTTACACTCCGTCTGAAGGAGCAGGTATGTAGCTTGGGGCAGGGATGCTGGTGGTGCTGTGGTCTAAACCACCAAGCCTCTTGGGTTTGCTGATCGTGAGGTTGGCAATTCAAAGCCACACAATAGGATGAGCTCCCATTGTTTTGTCCCAGCTCCTGCCAACCTAGCAGTTTGAAGACATACCAGCGCAAGTAGATAAATAGGTTCCACTGTGGCGGGAAGGTAAACAGCGTTTTTGTGTGCTCTGGCATTCGTCACAGTGTTCCGTGCATCAGAAGCTGTTTAGTCATGCTAGCACAGGGGTCAGCAACCTTTTTCAGCCATGGGCCGGTCCACTGTCCCTCAGACCATGTGGTGAGCCGAACTATATTTGGGGGGGGAAATATGAACAAATTCCTATGCCCCACAAATAACCCAGAGATGCATTTTAAATAAAAGGACACATTCTACTCATGTAAAAACACTGATTCCCGGACCATCCATGGCTGGATTGAGAAGACGATTGGGCCGCATCCGGCCCACGGGCCTTGGGTTACCTACCCCTGTGCTAGCAGCATGACCCGGAAAAGCTGTCAGTGGACAAACGCCGGCTCCCTCGGCCTGAAAGCAGAGATGAGCCCATCCAGGGTCCTTTACCTATGTAGCTTGGGAGTTCTCCTGGATCCTTTACTGTCACTTTAGGCTCAGGTGGCCTCAGTGGCTTGGAGTGCCTTCCAGGTTGCTCACCGGAGCAAGTTTGAGCATATTACGCTGATCCTGGTTTGGCTGCAATGGCTACCAATTAATTTCTAGGCCCAATAAAAAGTGCTGGTTTTGGCCTATAAAGCCTTAAACGGCTCAGAACCACAATGCCCCTCAAGGATTGCCTCTTTCCATATGAACCTACCCAGACCCTGAGATCATCATGTGAGGCCCTTCTTCATGTGCCCCCTCCTCAAGAAGTCCGGAGGGTGGTAACTTCAGGCGCCAGGCAAATACATTCCTCTTTAATCAGGCCTTTGGCTGATTGACTTCCAATGCCCTTTTAAAATGTGCTTGGGAGGGGTTTTTATTGAGTTTTTATTCTTATGTATTTTTATTTATATTTATATTGTGGTTTTATGTTGTAACCACCCTCAGACCTGTGGGTATAGGGCGATATACAAATAATAATAATAATAACTGCTCTGTTATCCTTGCATCTCCCAGTAACTTCACACCTTCCAACTCAGGAAGTTCTGTAAATCTCTAGGGACTTCAATCCACCTTTTTTTAACTGTCTGAAACTAGGTTTACATAACCAATCTCTATGCCACTGGGACAGGGATTCTATCATATTTATGTAAGCAGTGGCAAACTGAAGAGTTTAAAATCCCCATGGTACCAGCTAGTAGCTAGAATGTTGCTGCTGGAGAATAAAAAAAAATACACTTGCAATACATTTTCCAAGCAAAATTGTGTTAAACCATGTTGTGTGCAATGTTCACAATTTAATTAGGTTCTTCAACCACAAAGCCAAGGCTTAGTTCAGAACGTTCCTCCTATCAAGTGAGCACATTGGTTTGCCTTGCACAATAACATCCATGCTGACTGCACCAGGTCTCCAAGGTTTCAGGTGGGGAATTTCTCAGCCCTACTTGCAGATGCCCAGGGTTGAACCTGCCGCTTTCTGAACGCAGAGCAAGCGTTCTGCCCCATAGCTACACCCCTTCTCTCTGCTTCTAGAACAGGTGACAAAAAATGTCTCTGAGTATGTACAGTGAGCTTTCCAATTGCCACATGACAGCCACAGCAAGCCTATACACTGGGGTTCAGGAAGAAGACACAGTGCTATGGCATAGGCCACTTCCAGAGTGGATAAAGTAGAGGAGGGATGGAATTAAAACCTGTCCACCACTGCAATTCAGGCTCTTCCCAAACTTTGTCTGGTCACTCATGTGGCCAAAGGGTACTTGCATCAAACTCATTTGGGATTCCTGGCACCTTTTCCTGATTCCAAGTTTAGTTTAGTTAGTCCCGGGGTGAGCGCCCGTTGCTTGGACCCTGCTCCTGCCCACCTAGCAGTTCGAAAGCACATCCAGTGCAAGTAGATAAATAGGTATCACTGTGGTGGGAAGGTAAACGGTGTTTCCGTGCGCTGCTCTGGTTCACCAGAAGTAGCTTAGTCATACTGGCCACATGACCTGGAAGCTGTCTGCGTACAAACACTGGCTCCCTCGGCCAGTAAAGCGAGATGAGCGCTGCAACCCCAGAGTCGTCCGCGACTGGACTTAACAGTCAGGGGTCCCTTTACCTTTTTAACGTTTGGAGAGCTGCGGGTTTGCCACCCATGGTTTAGGCAAATAGGTTCAGGTAAACTGCTGTGCAGAATGGACCCCCCCCCCCGTCCCACTATCTCCTCTCCTTGTCTTTGTATTGGTGCAAGTCTGAAATTCAAAAGCCTGGATATTATGTTTATTATGTTTATAAAGTAAGGCAGCAGCAATACTAAGACTGCAATCTCCTCTGTGCACTTAATGCGGAAGTGTAAGGCCCATTTAATTCAATGGGACTTCTGTGCAGATATTTTGTATATATATATTCGCTGCTGGGCTGCATTCTTAAGTGCACTTAAGTAAGAATAAGCCCCATGGAAAACAGCACAACTTGCTTCTGAGTAGACACGCATCAGAGTGCGACGGGGTGAGCTCCTGTTGCTCGGTCCCTGCTCCTGCCAACCTAGCAGTTCGAAAGCACGTCAAAGTGCAAGTAGATAAATAGGTACCGCTCCGGCGGGAAGGTAAATGGCGTTTCCATGCGCTGCTCTGGTTCGCCAGAAGCGGCTTAGTCATGCTGGCCACATGACCCGGAAGCTGTATGCCGGCTCCCTCAGCCAATAAAACAAAATGAGCGCCGCAACCCCAGAGTCGGTCACGACTGGACCTAATGGTCAGGGGTCCCTTTACCTTTACACTAGCTTCTTACATCAACAAATGATTAGCATGAAAAAACCCTGTTAACATGCTGTGAACTGCCCCGAGATCAATGGGTGAAGGGTGGTATACAAATTTAATAAAGAAATAAAAACTAAGACTTCCAATTACGTACTGAAAAGGCACAGAGGTCACAGGAACATTTTAACCCAGACACTTCTTTTTGGAAATTCAACACTGACGGTTTTGAAACATGGTAATTGCAACAGAGAACCAAACCTTCCTATTGCCTCAGGCCCAGCCTGTTTTTGTGAGCAAATCAGGCAGCTGAGCCCAAGGCCCATTCTTGATGGGGCAAAGGCCAAGCATTAAATTATTCTAGCACTAGTTTTGCCTGTCAAGGAACAACCATCTTCCCTCCTTTCTATAAGCCCTTCTGCTACTGAAAAGTCTCGCCTATGAATCAATTCTCAGTTCCTGGGATGAACGCAAAGCTGGAACGTAGCAATCAAATTTTATGTGGCTGGTTTAGCACCTCCAGATGATATGGGTGCAAGCAAGAGGAGCAAAAACCTGCAGTAGATGACAGTGAACTTAATATTCTTTCTCCCTCCTTGTAAAGGTTTCTCACTTTTCTTGCCATTTCTCAACTGCCTGGCCATTAGAACCACCTTAATTTCAAAACAATACACTATGTTGGTTGTTGCTTGCCAATAATCATCAGGAACTAGCATTTAAACCAATTTACATAAATATTTTTATTTTTCGTAAGACAGATTTCCCCCAAGCAGTACAAGCTTGAATCAGAACACGTATTCACAGTTGCTTTAAAAAGACATTTGACAAAGCATCCTAGAAAACATCTGCAAGGTTACTTTGCACGTGTCTTATCTTTTGGCAACCTAACCAGTGTTTTTTCTATATATATATATAGAAATTCTGGCAGCACATAAAAAGCAGGGAAATAGTTCAGCACAGTTTTGTGTAGAAACTGACACTCCCGAGTGATTAAATAAGGGAGCTGCTAGCTAAAGCTATCTTCTGCAGTGCCATATGAAGAAGTAATTGCTTTTTATCTCTGGAGGTTTGGGGAGCATCCCTGGAGAGAAATTGGCTGGGATTATCAGTGGGGTGAGGCTGCGGGTGGCGCTGTGGGTTAAACCACAGAGCCTAGGACTTGCCGATCAGAAAGTTGGTGGTTCGAAGCCCTACGACAGGGTGAGATCCCATTGCTCGGTCCCTGCTCCTGCCAACCTAGCAGTTCGAAAGCACATCAAAGTGCAAGTAGATAAATAGGTACCACTCTGGTGGGAAGGTAAACGGCGTTTCCGTGTGCTGCTCTGGTTCGCCAGAAGCGGCTTAGTCATGCTGGCCACATGACCCGGAAGCTGTGCGCCGGCTCCCTCAGCCAATAAAGCGAGATGAGCGCTACAACCCCAGAGTCGTCCGCGACTGGACCTGATGGTCAGGGATCCCAGGTGATTTTACTTGTGCTCCCCACAGAAGTGAATGACCGAACCAAGGAGCGTCTGCATTCACCGAAACGTGGAATACTCCCCTGAACCATTCAATCTTTTCTTTCTATGTGGAGGAGCACACACAAACCAAGGCCAGCTCCTAAATTCAATCCAAGGGTGACATCTCAGATGCCCCATGGTTTCATTTGGTGTTAAGGGCAATGAAAAAGCCATATAGTGGTACCTTGGGTTAAGTACTTAATTCGTTCTGGAGGTCCGTTCTTAACCTGAAACTGTTCTTAACCTGAAGCACCACTTTAGCTAATGGGGCCTCCTGCTGCTGCCGCGCCGCCAGAGCCCGATTTCTGTTCTTATCCTGAAGCAAAGTTCTTAACCTGAAGCACTATTTCTGGGTTAGTGGAGTCTGTAACCTGAAGCGTATGTAACCTGAAGCGCATGTAACCTGAGGTACCACGGTATTGGCATTTCATTTTAAGATGCAAGAGCTACGTCTTTGTTCGAATCGGAGCATTAGCAAAAGCTGTGTGGAGCATAGAAGCACACAGCGTTCTCTTGGGAGGCTCTTATAAAACACAACTTCAATTGTGGCGTACTTCCATGGAGATTTGACGTTCAGCAATCGGCAGGTAGACCTAGCCAGGTCCCCAAAATTTCTAATTAGTGAAACTAGAAGATACTTGACTTCCCAAATGCCATACATAGCTAACCTTGAAATACCAAAACAGCGAAGGGCTTTCACCTTGGCCCGTTGTCAGGCTCTCCCTTCAGCAGTCCAGGAAGGCCGTTATAGGAAGATACCTTAGGAGGAAATGCCCATGGGCTCTGAGCAGCAGGAAACAATGGAGCATGCCCTTTTTATTGCCAGTATTATATAGACATTTGAGCCAGGTTTATCCAGCCCATCCTATAAAAATTCCCAGGGCATTCAGAACAACACAAATTTTCCCTATTACTACAGGACGAAAGGCCAGAAGTCATATTCAGGCGCCAGATTCTGTGCTGTCATGATAGATACTCGTCGAAGGATGGTCTATGCTACAAATCAGTCCTAAAATGAAGGCCCATATTGTTAGATCTGTATCACTGAAGCACCACCACATATAGCTGTTTTAACTGGTCTTTTTAATTCTTAATAGTTTTGGGGGCCTGCACTCACCGCCACAGCTTGAGGGCCTCCATCAAGGCCTCCGGGAGTAGTTTAATTTGAGCACTATTGTTTCTTGCTTTGTTTTTAATTTTATTATTCTGTTAAGTTATTATATAGTTTGTATTTTGCTTTTTAAGGGGAAGGGTCAGGGCTGCCGGGAATGGGCCTCAGCCAATAGAATGGCTGGGGCAGGTTCCACAGGGGGGGATGTATTGGGACATCCGATCTCGGTGATCATGGGCAGGAGGCGGAGTTACACTAAGACCAGACCATGTCATTACTGAGGAGGCAGGCTTAGTCGTTGTTTGAGGACTATCCCTGCCTCCAGATCTGGTCCTGACCGGAAGGATACAGGAATCAGCAGGGGAAACCCACATCATCTGAAAGTGTTGCTGTGCAATGCCAGGTCAATGATGAATAAAACCACTGCCATCCACGACCTGATTGTGGGTGGAGGATTTGACCTGGCATGTGTGACAGAGACCTGGTTGGAGGAAGCAGATGGGCCTGTCCTTGCCACTGCTTGCCCACCAGGTTTCTCTTACGCACAGCAACCCAGGTCATGTGGGCGGGGAGGGGGGGTTGCAGTGATTTTTAGGAAGTCATTAGTCTGCACCAGGCATTCTATTGGGAAGACCCAGTTTTCTGAGTGCATGTTCTGGAAGTTGGGCAATAGGGGCAGTACAGGATTCCTATTGGTGTACCGACCTCCCCGCTGCACCAAGGATTCCCTGCCCGAGCTGCTTCAGGTCGTGGCAGATATGCTCCTGGAGACACTTAGCTTGGTTGTCCTGGGGGATTTTAACATCCATGCCGACACGACCTTACAAGGGGCTGCTCGGGACTTCGTGGAAAGCATGGCCTCCATGGGGCTGTCCCTGAATATGTTTGGCCCAACTCATAGTCATGGACATGCCTTAGACTTGGTGTTTACCTCTATGGATGGTGGTGATCTGACACTAACTAAAAGCGAAACAAAAGAAATGCCATAGTCAGATCACTTCCTGGTGCAACTGGACTTCTCCGTGACCCTTCCCCTCTGCAGGGAGGTGGGACCGATTCGGATGGTCCGCCCCCGCCACTTAATGGATCCAATTGGCTTCCAGAGAGTGGTAGGGGATGTTTTATCCCAAGTTGATGGCCTTTCAGCTGATTCCCTGGTGGCACGCTGGAATGCAGAGTTAACCGGGGCTATTGACTGTCTGGCTCCGAAGCGCCCTCTCCGATTGCATGGAGCCCGGACAGCCCCGTGGTTTTCCCCGGAGCTGAGGGTGATGAAACAATCGTTGAGATGGCTAGAGCGCCGGTGGCAGAAAACTCATTCTGAATCAGACCAGACACGGGCTAGAGCTCAACGTCGAGCCTACCAAGTGGCAATGGCGACAGCAAAGAGGGCCTTCTTCGCCGCCTCCATTGCATCTGCAGAAAACAGCAGCAGGAGACTTTTCCAGGTGGTTCGCAATCTATTGGAACCACCTGTACCACCGGGGCCTGGTAGGGACCCCAAGATCTCCTGCAATGCTTTTGCAGTTTTTTGAAGATAAAGTCGCTCAGATTCAGAAGGAGGTAGGCTCCACCGTGGGAGGGCCAGGGCGGGAGAGTGCTAGAGTTCTGTCTGGTCCTGTTACATGGGATCAATTCCAATCTGTTACCTCCGAGGATGTGGACAGGCTGCTTGGACAAGTGAAACCGACCACCTGTCTCCTTGATCCTTGCCCATCCTGGCTGATAAAAGTGAGCCAGGAAGGGCTGGGTGATGGGCTCTGCGGGGTGGTGAATGCTTCCCTCTGTGAGGGAGCCTTCCCAGACCCGCTGAAAGAGGCGGTCATTAAACTGCTTCTTAAAAAAACATCTTTCGACCCGGCCAATTTGGCCAATTATCGCCCAGTCTCAAATCTATCATTCTTGGGCAAGGTGATTGAGCGGGTGGTTGCCGAACAACTCCAAGCACGCCTGGAGGATGCAGACCATTTGGATCCCTTCCAATCGGGATTCAGGCCTCACCATGGGACTGAAACTGCCTTGGTCGCGTTGGTTGATGATCTCCGGCAGGCTAGGGACAAAGGTGAGAGCTGTTTCCTAGTTCCTTTCTCCTGGGCCGTGTCCAGAATGGGGATGAGTGTTCAGACCCCTGGGCTCTCATTTGTGGGGTGCCTCAGGGTTCTGTCCTCTCCCCCATGCTTTTTAATATCTATATGAAGCCGCTGGGAGAGATCATCAGAGGGTTTGGACTGGGTGTTCATCAGTATGCAGATGACACCCAGCTCTACCTCTCCTTTAAATCAGAACCAGTGAAGGTAGTGAAGGTCCTGTGTGAGTGCCTAGAGGCGGTTGGAGGATGGATGGCGTTTAACAGATTGAGGTTGAATCCTGACAAGACAGAACTACTGTTTTTGGGGGACAGGAAGCTGGCGGGTGTGGGGGATTCCCTGGTCCTGAATGGGGTAACTGTGCCCCTGAAGGACAGGTGTGCAGCCTGGGAGTCATTTTGAACTCATAGCTGTCCATGGAGGCGCAGGTTAACTCTGTGTCCAGGGCAGCTGTTTACCAGCTCCATCTGGTACGCAGGCTAAGACCCTACCTGCCCACGGACTGTCTCGCCAGAGTGGTGCATGCTCTAGTTATCTCCTGCTTGGACTACTGCAACACGCTCTACGTGGGGCTACCTTTGAAGGTGACCCGGAAACTGCAATTAATCCAGAATGCGGCAGCTAGACTGGTGACTGGGAGTGGCCGCTGGGACCACATAACACCGGTTCTGAGAGATCTGCATTGGCTCCCAGTACGTTTCCGAGCACAATTCAAAGTGTTGGTGCTGACCTTTAAAGCCCTAAACGGCCTCGGTCCTGTATACCTGAAGGAGCGTCTCCACCCCCATCGTTCAGCCTGGACACTGAGATCCAGCGCCGAGGGCCTTCTGGCGGTTCCCTCATTGCGAGAAGTGAGGCTACAGGGAGCCAGACAGAGGGCCTTCTCGTAGTGGCGCCCGCCCTGTGGAACGCCCTCCCATCAGATGTCAAAGAGATAAACAACTACCTGATATTCAGAAGACATCTTAAGGCAGCCCTGTTCAGGGAAGTTTTTAATATGTAATGCTGTACTGTTTTTAACACTTGATTGGGAGCTGCCCAGAGTGGCTGGGGAAACTCAGCCAGATGGGCGGGGTATAAATAATAAATTATTATTATCATTCACCCGTTATTTATGCTTAATCAAATATTCTATGTATGTTTTAATCTACAGTTGGTTCTTGCTCCCATTTATTCAATAATTGTTCGCTTAGATTCATACTGTTATGCTATTTATTTAGGTTATGCTGGTTTGTGGCAGAATAAAGTAAAGTAAGACGTTCAGCAATGCTTCCAAGGGACCTACGCTGAGAGCACTTTGCCACTTTTCGCCCTTTGCAGAGGATCAGCAACCTCCAACAGATGATATGAGCTGCAGGGTTATGATGATACCACAAGCCCCTCTTGATTACCATGCAGGAAGGCCTGTTTTCCCAGCACTGCATCTCATGCTTGCTGTCATGAAATGAAATGTGTACAAACCGTGTACTAAAAACATGCACACACATGTAAAACGTATTATTCACTGCAGGGTGGTGAAGATCCAGAGGGGGAAATGGAACCCCTCAGCTGTCCTCTCCCCTTAACTGCCATTTGGGGGTAGCCATTCCATCAGGTTGCCTCAGTGGAAGAGGTAGGAAGCACGGTTCATTTCATTGGCTTTGCGGAAGACCCTTTTACTGTGCCAGCTGGTCATTACAGCACACCTGTTTAGAAATTGGTGCTTGAGTTTTGGTTTTTTACTTTCCTCTTCCTTCCCTCCCTGTCCCTTTCCCCTTGTGTGTCCTTTCTCCCACCCCCCGGGATTATAAGCCTACAGTGGCACTGTGTTAGTTTGATTGTATGTGAACCACTCTGGGAGCCATTGGCCGCAGAGCACTAAATGATCTAAATGAATAAATAAAACCCAAGTGCAAAATATTACTTTCAGATTAAATAAACATTTGTTGGCTGCATTGGGAAATCCATTCAATTTTTGCAAACTAGGTTAGCGTTAAAGAAAAGACAAGCTTAGAGGACTGTGGAAATTGCCACCACCCGTCAGCCTGACGCAAAACATGAATCTAAGCACAGAAAATATCTGCATACATTGCTTCATTACTACTTTATTGGAGCAGAGGTTAACAAACATGGATGGTATGCTAGGGAACGCTTATTCACATGAAAATTACCATGACATGAAATAAAGCATATTAAAAGTATAAGCAAAAACTCAAACTATAATTTGTTCCTCTTCTTACAGCTTTGACTATCTGGTGCAACAAGTGACAACCTAGCTTGCAGCCCTCGGAACTGCCTATTCTTGTCAGTAGAATGGTTTCAGGTTGTAGTCCTTGACGGTCTTTGTTTTGCCCGTTCCATGTTTCATAAAATTATAAGCAATAACTGAACAGAATAATTTCTATGGGCTCAGACTACATAGCTATGCTTAGAAGGTCACTTACTCAAGGAACAAAATACCAACCAGCACTTAAGTAGATTTCATACCCCTTTTTCACTGCTCAAAGCATTCCCTGTTCAGCAGATCCATCGAATACAAAGTACAGCACCCCTAGCCTGTGAAGTACATGTGAAAATATGGACTTCTTGCTTTCTAGTTCTGTCTTTTGAAATGAAAGTAATTAATTCTGTGACATTTAGGAGAGGACTGGGGGAAATTTCATTGGTTCTCACACAACATCAACCATGATTTTAATTTAGCTCTCCCCTCTCAAGCCCCACCTATTCTTCAAAATAAATTAACTTAGGGGCCAAACTCTGTGTGAGTTCCTGGTCTCCTGATATGAGTTTGTTTTTTCAAAAAAAAAGAAAAAAGAAAAAGACACTTTAAAGCAACCTGGGTGCATCCTGCTTTGACTGGCGCAGGGATGCTGGGCTCTAGGGGTGCTAAGCCCTCCCTTTCCCTGCTGTTTCCTCCCACCTATAGTCCCCTCCTGCCATTGACTTCTGTCCCATGGCAGTGGGGGAAAACAGATACAACTGGCCCGCCACTTAAAGCGAGGGTTCTGTTCCAGGTGCCCATGCACAAAAGCAAAGTTGCGCAGTCAGGAACCCCCAGAACTGTCCCTCCCCCCAATACAAGGCAAGGTCTGTTTACCAGGCTCTGGGAGCTTCCCACTATCTTCCCAAATCCTGGCAAGCAAGGAAAAATTGCTGGGTGCACAGGTGGGGGGAAATAAACAGCTGGGAATGGAATGTTTACCTCGCTCTCCATTTATGTATTTACCATCACCACCACCCCAAATATATATATATAAGGTGGGCATAAGATATGGGCCCAACCTTACCTCTATCATGCCCACATTTCCACCTTACCCTGACGCTAGTAGGGAGTTACTTATTATTAGTAAAGTGACTGGGGTGGGAAGGGCTAAACACTTCCTCCCAGCTCCACTACTATGATTGCCATTTGAGCACCCTGCAACTGCTCCTTCAAAAGAAAAAAGAAAAATGAATGGCAGGAAATCTGATAATGGCTCTCCTATGTCCTGTGTAACTTTGCCCTTAGCTGGTTAATAAAGGGCAGAAGATTTAGGCAGAATTAAAGGGAGGAGCCATTCAAACCAGAGCACCTGTTATTCTACTCAAACCATTCCAATAAACCCAAAGGGACCTGCCACAAAATGGGTCTGGACTGAGAAGCAGAATCTGGCACACAGCATATACTGCCCAATGCTGGATTAAGCTATGCTAATTGCAGAGTTTTCTGATTAAGTGGCATATAAATCTTTCTAAATAAATAAAAGGCTTCTTGCAAAATAAATAATAATAATAATTAAAAAAAAAAGCGTGAGTATCTCAAATTGCCACGTCTGCAGTAAATTATAAACAAACACGTTCCTTCTCTGCCTTTTGGATAAATGTTTCATCTCTCACACCATCCCCTTTCTGACATCACTGAGGAGGCACTTTCTTTTTTTAATCTTATAAATTAAACAATTTGTTCAACTAACTCCTTTAACTGTACAGTTACTAGGGAGCATTTTCATATACTGTGGCTCCCTCCGAAATCGGCAGGGACCATTCACTTCACTTGGCTCAGATTCTGAGTAGACCATTCAACATGGCTTCAATCATGCACTGCAGTAACTTTTTTTAATAAAAAAAAAATTTTGGTCATTAGTACAGATGTTGAATCTGTTGACCAGTTTTTGCCAAGCTGTGTCTGCCCTCTCGTGCTCTGCCAGCATGCACAGCAGCCCAAGCAGAGCACCCAAATCACCAAATGTGATTTATTTTTAAGTCCTCAAGAGGGCCTAATTTGAGCTTTCAAGAACCACCCCCATCACCCCCCAAGACCAACCAAGTTAGCATCCTCTTCCAAGTTCCCCTCCACAGAATGTCTCTGCATATGGATTGAATTGTTTTGACAGGAAACAAAGGGCATACTTCAGGAATCTGTTTCCACCTATTTTCTTAACAGCAAGTCCCCTGAAAACCAGGAGTTGCAGCAAAACCTCCTGGAGTGAAAAATGTCCCCGTTGCAGGAGCTGCTCATTAACGCCAAAAAGGTCTTCCAAAAACTGAAAGCTGCCCCCATCCTATTCCACCCACTTGCTTGTTTCACCATCTCACCAATTCTCTCACCTCTCCTTACTGCCCTGACACCACTCTTCTTGCGCTAGCCTTGAAAATTCTCTGCTTTTCATTTATTTCGCACCCATTCTCACCGGTCTTGTTAATGTCTACATTCCCCTTATCTGCCTTTGGGTGAGCTTCTTGAAAAGGAGACCCGCCCGAATGGGTGGCATCTTTTGCTTTTACTGCCCCTGGCATAATGTGATGAGTTTTACATTTCCTTTTGTGATGGGACATCTTGCCAAGAGACTCCATCTCTTCACAATGGTTTGATTTAAAGAATTGCGGTTCATCATCAGACAAATTGTTTCCAGAATATCTCTTTCTGTTGTTCTTCTGATCAGCTTCCCTCTCCTCATCACTAGATGTCCATTTGACTCTTTGTTCTTCACCCCTTACTTTGCTGCTGGTTCTTTTGTATGTTGTCCTAAGCTTTAGCTTGGAGTGCCTTGCTGAATCACAGTACTCAGAGCGTGAGAAGAAACTGTGTTTGCTGCATTCAATACCTTGAGCACCACAACAATCATTTTGGACAGAAATCGACAAATCTCTCACCATTTTCTGACCGAAGGGTGACACCTTGCAGCCACCACCATTTTTTCTTTCTTTTTTGCTTCGTGACTCATTAAGTGCCTCACTGAAGGATTCAGAATCACTGCTGATCTCTTCCAATACATCCTTCAATTTATTCACACGGCCAACTAGCTTGTGTGATGCCATAGCCACCATTTCAGTGTCTTCTGCTTCAGATTTTCTATCATGAGTTGCACTTACTAGGACACGACTATTCAATTTACCACGCAGCGTTCCTTCTTCAGCCTGATTTGACAGATCTTTGCCCCGATAGCTTTTGGCAAACTTCCTAGCACATGCCTGGCTTTTTGGCATAACCTCAGGTTCCTCATCCATTACTTCCCAGTTATCACTACGTCTGGAGCTTTTCTCTTGGGTATTTGGTACACAAATCAAATCCGTCATGCACTGCCTATCTTTGTTCTGCAGGTTAATCCGGAAGCTGTCCTTATTGTAATACACCACCCTCTGCCACTGAGACTTATTCGCTGGGTTATCCACCCTTGGAAAGTCCCGTGCATATTCTGGGGTTTGATAGTAGTTGAGCAAATAATGTGTGAATTCATCAGTTTCATATATCTTGGGCTTCCTGAATTCTCTCTCCCTGGAAGCGTTAGGGGAGCACCCAAACGAGTGGCTGTCATGGGGGCTGTGTGTTACGTAGGTGCTGATGGTTTCAGCGACTGGCCTGTTCAAAGTATTTCTCCAAAACGGATCAGGTAATGGAGGCAACTTAAATGGAATGTGCTGCTGCTGCTCCTGCTGCTGCTCCTGCTCCTGCTGCTTCTCCTCAATAAAAGCATCCGCCAACTGAGCTGACTGACACGTGGATTCGCTCTTATTCTTCGACTCTTGTTGCCCAAGGCAGTTTACTTGTTCCTTTGGTGCATTCTGTATCTGAGATGCAAAGGAGCAATTCTCCCTTTTGATTTCAAGATTCAGCAGAGGGCCCCCTATTTGCTCGGATGCTTGTGCAACGTCCTTTGGGGGGGGGGAATAAAAGAAAGAATTATAGCGCAACAGAACAAGGGACTTGAGCAGAAAGCAAATACCAGTAAATCAGCAAAGCCTAATGATAAATGATTTTATGTACAATTTGGGCTAGTCAAAGACTCTTCAGTGCCTAAGACAGGAAATCCAAATGGCATCCACCCACCCAGGTCAAACAAGCCAGAATGCACCTGGTGTCGGCCAGAAGCTCTTGGACTACAACTCCCATCATGTCAAATGGCCTGGGATTGCAAGAGTTGGAGTCCAAGAACAGTTGGAGGACAACATGGATGGATTACTTTGTCCTAGCGATTCTACTAAAATGTAAAAGCTGCATAAAAGCATTGTTGTGTTTTAACAGCTCGTCCCCACCCTCATAAAAAGGGACTTATGCATAACCTCCCTGTGGGTTGTACCTCATGGGTGAAATCTGCCTCCCTCCCTGACAGTCTTAGCAAGACCCAAAATACACTGTTTGGGAAACACACTTAAGACTTCATTCACTGTAGGAGTTGTCTCTGCAGACTGCTGTTTGAGGTGGTTCAATTTTTCCAGAAAGGAAACCTGTGTTTTTTGTTTTTTAAATACCAGTTCACTTCAAACCACATCTTAAAAGGCTCACAAAGCTGCACAAATCATAGCCTTTAAGATACAAGCCAGCTTGATTTTGCCAGCTTGGAAAAATAATTATTAATGAAAGTCACTTGCCATAGGCAATAGTCAAATTGCCGGTTTACTTGCTTTCGCTTTTTTAATGATAACTTCGGAGTCGTTCTACTAAAATAATGACCCCACACAAAAAAGCAAGTTTCAGCCCCACCTCAATAATTCACAGCAATTTCCTATATGAAAAGAGAACTTCCACCAACAAGCATTTGTATCATCCTTTATCACAGGATGAAAAGGAGAAGTTATCAAAAGCCTTACATCTTGCTTTACTTAAATCGCTTCATTCTCAGAATCAACATGTAAATCTCCCAGTGCACCCAGTTCAGTGCATCAAAATGTGGTGTGCCTTGGATGTGGAAACTGAGAAACCTACTGCCCACTTGTGGCGAACTCTGCTATCATATATGCCTACAGTTGTCCACAACTTATTACATATATTTTTAAAAAACACAAACCCTTAGAAAATTTTGAAAATTATATCCTTACTTTTACTTTGTTTAAGAGCAGGGAAAGCAGCCTCATGGACTCCTCTCTTTTCTGAGCTATATCGTGTTTCTTCTTTTCCCAATTGGGCATCTTCTCTGTCCACAAATCTTCCGCATCTGTTACCTTCCGCTGCTTTCTTGAGCGTTTTGTATCCCAATCTATCTCCCTTTGCCGATGTCTCTTGTGCTTATACTTCCTCTTTCCTTCTCCAGTTTTCTTTTCTTCATCATCGCGTCGTTTTCTAGGCAATTATTGATATGGGACAATTTAGGTGCGGGAGGGAAATAATTTTACAGTTTTAACCCTTGCAAGGTAGAAGGGAAGATAAGGAGGTAACAGGAAGGGCTTCCACCCTTGAAATCTGTTTGGACACAAGAGAGAACACTTCCTACAAATTTGTGTTTTGGAATGTACACATATATACTTCACACATTCTAAGGAGGTGCAAAATGTTTGAAGATAACCTCAGGGCAGCTCTCTCTTGAAACATCTTCTGGTCCTAACATTTCCCAGTACTGCATCTAAAGTTACATGAGCTATTTCAAACACTGCCATAAACCATGGTTTATCATGACAATAATGAACCTAGTCTCACAACCCTGTGCCCGCACCCGGTCCTTCAACGGTGTGGCACTTTTGCTCAGTGGCAGACCTACATTTTGGAAGTTTGAACTGTTATGCGGGCCCCTACACAATCAGCAACAAGGCCTGGGTACCCACTGTTATCTGCAACGGGGTATTCCGTGGCAGATCACCATATATATATATATATATATATATATATATATATACATACACACACACACACACACACACACACACACACACACACACACACATAAAAATGTTAACTGCTACATCTCAGATTTTGATTAAAATTGCTATACTGGACAGATTATCTCACCTGTCAAAATCACTGGTGTGAATAAAAAAAAATCCTATGCCTTATAGTTTTTGAGTTATGGGAGGAATGCTATATACAGTGGTACCTTGGGTTACATACGTTTCAGGTTACAGACTCCGCTAACCCAGAAATAGTGCTTCTGGTTAAGAACTTTGCTTCAGGATAAGAACAGAAATTGTGCTTCAGCGGCGCGGTGGCAGCAGGAGGCCCCATTAGCTAAACTGGTGCTTCAGGTCAAGAACAGACCTCCAGAACGAATTAAGTACTTAACTTGAGGTACCACTGTACATGTGTGGCTAAAGTCTTTTCTGGGGACCCTCCAAGATTAGGGTCCCTGAAGCTTAGATCCACCACTGCTTTTGCTATTTTAGATTAGTGATATGGGTCTTCTGGACTGATTGAAAAGCAAGGGTAATTTGCACTGAATACATTTCTTATGCCAATACAATGAACCTGAGCAATCCCTGGGCAATAGTGAAATGGATGAGGACAAGCAAGCTAAGCTTGGATCCTGGCCAAACAGAGGCACTGTGGGTGAGCAGCTCCCTTGTCTGAGAAATTGGTCAGTTCCTACCATGGATGGGGTTGCACTCTTCCTGAAGGAGAAGGTTCACAGACTGAGGTGCTTCCAGATCCACCTACATCACTGGAGGCTCAGGTAGCCTCAGCAGCTGGCAAGGCCCTTTACCAACTACAGCTGGTTCATCAGCTGTGGCCATTCCTGGACTGGGAAAGCCTTGCCACAGTAGTTCATGTATTGGTTACATCAATAGAGTCATACCTTGGGTTGAAGTAGCTTCGGGATAAGTATTTTCGGGTTGCGCACTGCGGCAACCCGGAAGTAATGGAGTGTGTTACTTCCGGGTTTCGCTGCTTGCGCATGCGCAGACGGTCAAAATGACATCACACACATGTGCAGAAGCGGCGAATCGTGACCCACGCACGTGTGGATGCGGGTTGCATTTGCTTCTGGATGCGAATGGGGCTCTGGAACAGATCCTGGTCGCATCCAGAGGTACCAGTGTACTGGACTACTACAATGCACTCTACAAGGAGCTTCCCTCACATGTGAGCTGGAAAATGCAGTCAGCAATCATGCCACAGCATACCACACTAAGAACCATCTTGTTTAGGCAAGCCTACCCAGATGCTTAGAAAGTTGAGGTGATGTGTGTTTTAACTTTATGTTTGTGGTTTTTATTTATTTTCTTGTTTTATCTTTTGGTAAACCTCTTTGAAGTTTTGTGTTTTTTTTACAATCACGCGGTCTATAAATTTTACGAAATGATTAGTAAATAAATATCTAGTACAGTGGTACCCTGGGTTAAGAACTTAATTCGTTCTGGAGGTCCGTTGTTAACCCGAAACTGTTCTTAACCGGAGGTACCACTTTAGTTAATGGGGACTCCCGCTACCACCGCCACACAATTTCTGTTCTCATCCTGAAGTAAAGTTCTTAACCTGAGGTACTATTTCTGGGTTAGCGGAGTCTGTAACCTGAAGCGTCTGTAACCTGAAGCATCTGTAACCCAAGGTACCACTGTATAGCATGTTCACTTATATTTGTTTTTAAAAAAGCTAAGAAACCCATCTTAAACTTTTCTCCCCAATTCTTACAGAATAGTTTCTACATGTCATTAATGTCCCTTCATTCTTGCTGCACCGTTAGTGTGTTCATACCTGCAATACTGATAACCTAACAACTTTCTTCCGCCCTTCACTGGCTTCATTATAATGATGCCAAACGCTAGAATTATTCCCCATCACATCATTATTACTACTCAGGGAGTGCTCAGATGCACTATGAAAGCTAACAGATTATATACAAACACTTTCACCTTCCCCGGCTAAAGAAAAGAAATAAGACACTCGTCTGGAGGCCTTGTGCATTTGCTGACCTTGGCTCTTTCTTACAGTCAGAGCTACAGACCACTTTGCTTTCAATTTAATCATTGTTCCTAACCTCCAGTCAACATTTCTATGCCTCCACAGGCCACAAAAACGGTCTCAAGACACAGAATGCAGATCTAAGCAGTTCTGGCCTTGTAAGTTGCTGAGCCCTACTGCAGACTGAACAGAGCAGCTAATTCCCAAACTCTGCGCTGTGTGAAAACTGCTAGTATGTCACGTGAGCATATATAATGCTCCTGTGAGTTCAAAAGTACCCAGCCACAGAAGAGGATGCTTCTGGTATCTGTGTGAGCCACTACTCTGATCTTTCCTCCTCCTAACCTGTCACTGGATGTAGATGGATCATTCTACCACTCCTCATGGAGTAACATAGAACGTCCTGGTCTGAGAGGTCTGTTGTGTCTGTGCATGAATCACTGCTCTGACCTTGCCGTCTTCTAGCTAGGAGGGCCCTTCTAAAGGCAGGTGAATTGTAACGAACATAGTATAAAAGTAGACCTTTTCCAGGAGCATGAATGAAGCACGTCTCTCCAAATTTAATTCGGGGAAAGTGTGCCAGAGCTCTCATAAAGCCTGAGAAGCAGTGCAGAAAGGATTTTGTATAGACCTGAACGATTCCTGATGAGAAAAAATATTTTGTAAAATCCTTTCGGTACGCAGCCAACTCGGACTTCTGTACATACCGGTGGCTCTCAATGTATGGAGGGGCTATGTACCAGGGATAGCACCTAAAGCCAAAATTGTGTGTAGTCAAAACACATTGCAACTGGGCTTGCCCAAGTCTTTTTTTCCCCAGACAGCCACCCATTTTCTGCCCTGCCTTTGTTAATTTTTTTTTTTTTTTTTGCCTACCTCATAAAGCTAAATGCACACAAGTTTAATGAGCATATGTTGCAAATTACCTGTAATAGGAAATCCCGGGGCCTGAGGGTCTGCATTTTATATCCTAATTGCTAAATAGTCTTTAAACAGGGGAGGGGTGAAATAAAGTCTTGCAAAAGCTGAATTTGTTGAGAGTTTCGTAAATCTAGTGTTACTATTTCAGTCTTTTGGCATAACAACTTTTGTTCTGAACGCAACAAAGAAGGTGGAGCCCAAGACTCCCTGCAGAATAAGAACATATGTGCTCAGATGTAATCTGGCATTGAAGAAGCCCTCTGGAGAGCCAAGGAAGGTTGAGAAAACAAGTGGTGACACACATTTATCTTTGAACTCAGCAGCAAAACCCAAAATACATTATATTCTCTCACAAAAATTGATCTAACTTCAGTGTAGGCATAATGCTGTTATACAGAATTTCAGCAATTGATAAAACAAACCAAATTGCAAAAAAAGGTCTTATGCAACTATGCGCCTAAGGTTCATCCTCATACAGAACCGTCACTTGTTATCTATTAACGTAAAGCAAAGGACATATTGCCCTTTCACTGAAGGCAAGTTTCTATTTGTTAATTACCATGAGGAGGCAACTCTGAACTAATAGAAAAGAACTAAGCATCTATGGAAAAATTCATGCAGCTATATAACCAACAGCTAAAATGGCAAAAATATCCTTTTTAAACTCCTTTTTTGTTCCCCTTGGCAGAATCAGGAAGTCTTTGAACAGTAAAATGGCAGAATTTGGAGTCTGCTGGATTTTCAGTCGCCCAATAACAGCTACCAGAAGGAGCGTCTCCACCCGCATCGTTCAGCCAGAACACTGAGGTCCAGTTTTGAGGGCCTTCTGGTGGTTCCCTCTCTGCAAGAAGCAAAGCTACAGGGAACCAGGCAGAGGGCCTTCCCGGTAGTGGCTCCTGCCCTATGGAACGCCCTCCCATCAGATGTCAAGAAAATAAACAACTATCTGACTTTCAGAAGACATCTGAAGGCAGCCTTGTATAGGGAAGTTTTTAATGTTTGATTTTTTGGTGTGTTTTTAATATTCTGTTGGGAGCCGCCCAGAGTGGCTGAGGAAACCCAGCCAGATGGGCCTGGTACAAATAAATTATTATTATTATTATTACCTGATAGAAACATGTTTTGAATAGCAGGACATGAAATTAGTAACCAGATAGTAATCCCATGGCCAAAAGTTGGACTGCTTATATCTTGCTTGTTTTCTCCAGTAATCTAGATGTCTTTACTATCAAGTGTACACCTACAGACTCTTCTAATCTCTGGAATAGCAAGTGTTCAAAACTACTCAAACCAAGCTAGCCTCCTAGTAAGGAGAGCAAAGGGGGGGTGGTCTGTGGAAGGCAGAGTTTAGGAGTGATGATCTAGAAGTAAAGCTGCAAGCTAGAAAGCTAGAGAGGCAGAGCACAATGTTTGATGTCTACTAAATCTAAGGCTATGGCTATGGTCACCCTCTTGGGGTGTTAATGCTGTGAACCCCTCCATCGTAGGTTCAGGCTGCATATATGTGTAAATAAACCATATATCCTAAAGACATACAGTCCCCACTGTGCCTCATTTCCAAAAGAAAACACAAACTCTGGGTTAAGCACCCGGAACCCCTGGAATCTCAAGCTGATCGGAGACTGGGATGGCTTGTAACACTATTAACAGCTGCAGATAAAACATGAAGTGAGAAACAGTGTTTTGATGTTTGCAGCCTTCTGTTAAAACTCCTTCAGCTTTATCAGTTACACTGAAATGTACTTTAGGGAAGACAGTAAAATAATCATGGTTATGTGAATGCTACAGGAGCACACAATTTAGTACCGGGTAAACAAATTAATTTCCCAAGACTCAACTTTCATTTGTTTGTTTTAAAAGAAATGTTTCTAGCCCTCATGGCAAGGAGCATATTATGTATAAATGCCTGCAGAAAGGTGTCTGGAAAAGATTTCAAGTACTTGCGGGGCAAGTTTTCCATTATCTCACATAGATATCCCAATAACTAAACAAAATCTGAATTATGCATAACTAATAAAATGGCTAAAAAAGGGAAAGTACGCAGATTTTCTCTCCTTGCATAAACTTAGGTAAGTCACAAGGTCCAGCTGATTTTGGTACACAATGTCAGCTGCCATTATGCAAAGAAAAAGTATGGAGCCCTCACAGCCACAAAAAACAATCCTCTTATCTCAGTTTCCCCACTAACAGGGTATGCTCAATCTTGTCTTTAAGAGAAAAAAGAAAAAGCCACAGAGATTCCTCACCTTTCAATCCCTTTTCTCCCTCTGTCTTCGTTCCTCTTTCGCTCTCTCTCTAGTTCTTGCAGAGTTGTTTTTTCCAGGTTTCTCTGATTTATAGCAACATCGCTGAAATGATCAGTAGTATCGGACGTCACCTGTTTAAAAATCAAAAAAGTACAAATTGTAGTATCGCTCACTCAAGCATACAAAATCTACAAGGTCTCCAGAGCCAATTTTAAGATCTCAAATAGAACACAGGGAGCCTTAACAGCATTGGGACATTCCCTAAACCACTTTGGCTCAACTATCTCCATACCAGAAAGAAGGCCTTTGTTATGCAGCCCAACACAGATGACATAGGGGTGGCAGGGAGACTCATGCTCAAGTAAAGGAAGTTGTGCTACTGAGAAATAACTGCTTGTGATCGTAACCCATGAACACAAACACTTCCCACCTGGTCCCTATGCCACACTGCAAGCTTCTATTTTTGGAGTTGGGGGTTGGAATTATAAAGGCAGTTTAAAGGTTCAGTTGGGATAGGGTGTAAACAGAGTACAGGTGTCATGTGAAGGTACCCCTGGGATATCCCTAAGGCTCTGAAAACCAGCTGTTATTTGCCCTCAATTTTAAAATGAGAATTGGGCATCTTTCAAACCTCTCCCATATTAAAAACCACAGTGCTGAAAATGAAAAGAACTAAAAGGTGTCCGTGTAACTAGGCTGCATACATTTAATAAAATCAAACCCAAGTAATCTAAGAGGTGAACAAAGTGAAATTATTTTCAAAGCTGCAATTGTATACCCATTAAAGACCAAACATGGAAATAATGCTGAAAGATATTCCAGTTAGGTAGCCCCAGGAAAATGCATATTTTTTGGGAAGTTGTGATATACTCTCAGTAATCATTCAAAGTTTCTGTATATGGAAGCAGATGCCCCATATAAAGAAGACCAAACCTGTCAAAACCATATGGCAGCAAAGGGGGGGGGGGGTTGAATTGTGCTCTTCAGTTCTGCTCCAGTGAGTTGTGAGACCCCTTGCAACAGCATGGAAGTGGGTATAGGAGGTTGTAGGAGAGATAGGCAAACATCTCTTCACCTCCTCTTCCATTAGTGCTGGCTTCTGCAAGACTCTTCCACAAACGGAAGGACTCCCGTTTCCTAAAGAATATGGTTTCCAGAGGTTGTTGAATTGCAGCTCCCATCAACTTTGAGCCAATATGGCTAATGCTCAAGGATGACAAAAGCTGTAGCCCAGCAGCCTTGGAGATCCACAGGTTCCCCATCCCTGGCACAACACAAAAACTCTGGTGCCACCTGAAAGGGTGGCAGATTAATTGTGGAACATGACTCCCACCATCAGATGCATGAAAAATTTAATTCAGCATATCCTTTCATGGGACTAGATTCCACATCACTAGGCACTTCCACCTATGGTAGAAAATAGTTCATAATGCCTATTCCAAAATAAAACTGCCAGCCTTTCAGGTGGCATAAGACTTGGTAGTTTTTACAGGAATAGACTAAAAATAGCTACTCCTAAGCAATACTTCTTACCTTGATGTAACATGCAAGAGCTTTTCCATCATCCCCTTTAAACACCAGCTTCATTCCCTTAAATGTCTCCATAGCTTTTGAACAAGATGTGGACTCCTGGTACTGGACAAAAGCTTCAAATGTCCGCAGGTTCAAAAGGGAACGCAAAGTCAAATTATTCATGCGTCCTCCCACCACTTCTTCCCTATAAGGGTCAAGCATAGGGACATCTATGTTCTTGATCTTCCCAAATTTTTCAAATACTGCTCTCAAGACATCTTCCCTTGGTGATTCACTACCTGAGCCTTTCACTGCAAACCATTTGCATGGCAATCCTTCCAAATAGATGCAACCAGGGCTATCCTTGCTTTGCTCTGCTAAGTCTTCCTCTGGCAATTCTCTAGTGGGTTCCAACTCCTGAGGAGCTGGCGGATTGGAAGGTGGCTCCATGACAACCACTTGCAAATCATCTTTGAAGCCACTGAGGTTTATCATCTTGCCATGAAGCTTCTCCTTCAGCCTACAAAACACGCGATTGGTGTCTGCCTCTCCCTCACACAGAATGAAACCCTTAGTGTTCTTGGTAACCTTAACACTGGCGAACCGGTCTGGACAAACCATTTTCTTCAGCTTTTCAATCACTTCCCACTTTGGGACTATGTAGGTAGGTCCGGTGGGTTCTGGAAGCACTATACAGATTGTCATTTTCACTACCGGCATAAGATAGAGTCGATGAAAAGCACTGAACTCCATAGTTTCTGAGGTATCATATACTACAGTGTAATTCATGGTGTCCAGAGGTCCTTTAGAAAAACAATTAAAGAGGAGCAGTTATGATAAAGAGCAAATAAAGAATGCTCCTTTATATTCTACATAGTTACTAGGGTCAGCTGCTTGCACCATGCAAACAGTGCAAGGTGACATTAAACACAGCTGTCATTCATACCACGCCTCTTTCAAGCTGGACCTGTGTTTTCCAAATTTCTGACAAGTACACTATTTTCTGAATTAAAATTAGAGGCACATTTAGACCTAAAACTGTTTGCTCTTGCAGAATGACCCTATCTTTGCAAATTTACTTTGAATGAAGGGCCTTTTATTTCAATGGAGCTCACTGCGATTGCAACCTTGCTTGTTTGCTGTTTTAAAGGTTATCTTCTAAAAGCACAAAATATCTTTAAAATGATATACAGTCATCTTAGAAATGGCATACAATCATCCTAAAGTGTTGGTAGGGAAGAGATATACAGTAATACACACTGTGAGGAGTGTTAAATACAACACACAGTCCCAATAGGATCTCTTATTGAACTACGGAAGAGTCTGAAATTAAAGCCAAACTCCCAGCAAAACGCACACACATGAAAAACTATGCAGATACAAAAAAAGCATTTGCAGCTGAAATACACACCACTCCTGGATAAATCACTAAGCATGTCACAGAATGCCAACCAAGAACCAATTTGAAAGAAACCCAGTAAGATAACCAAGAAACCAAGTAAGATAAAATACACACTCGTGGCACGTTGCAAACTATGTTTACCCAGAAATGAGTTCCACTGGTCTTGCTCCCTAGCAAGTGTAATCAGGACTACACCCTTCAAGCTCTAATAGCCATGAAAGAATTGCAGCTAATGTATCCAAGCTCTCTTTAAAATTAAAATTGAACTGCTGGGGAAATGGTATAAAAATATTTTAACAAAGTCTAAAACAAACTACACAAAAACTGCTTTCTGAAACTTTACACATCTACAAATATATATAAACACAGCTTAGTAATTTTAGCAAATGGGTACTTTAGGAAAAGTCTCTAGACTTAACTAAGCTATTTCCAATACATGAGAACATGTAAACTGCACAAGTCAAACGTTCTTTTCTGTTAAAAATAAAATGACTATTGCTTTTAAAGAGCATCTGCAGTAATCAAAAACCATTCTGTCTTCTTAGACAACCCACAGTCAAGTCAAGCAATGCAGTTACATGGATGAACTAGTTTCCATTAACATGGCAAAGAAATGCTTCCACAATTCACTCACAACTATGTCAATTTTCAAGGCAAGATACACATACTGTATATGTGTATTTACTGCTTTATTTATAACAAAGGTCAAGTGCATAAGATGACTACACTCCAAGTTTAGTTTAACATAACTTAGGGAAATCTGTTCCTCACACTCCATGCAATAATTAATTACACACCTTGGAATGCAGTTTACTTCGAAAGGCAATATTAATCCAGTTAATTTTTTTTTTAATCTTCAGATTTTCTGGCTTTTCAGAATACAAGTCATGAATTCCATTCCTCCACACTGTAGTATGTTTCCCTTCTCAGTCTTCTAGTTTGTCTTTAAGCTCTGCACTAGAAATTATGATATTCCAATTTGTATAGTTTGCATTCTCTCCTAAAATGCCAAAGTTCTCAGCAGATTTATTTTTTGTATTCAAGTCAGAGCATAACAAAATACTCCTCAGTTTGCTATATCAATGTGTTAGGAAAGTATACTGGCAAATCCTTGCCAGCTCTCTTCTGAGATGTCAGGGTCCAAATTGCAAGACTCAAGGGAAACTGGAGCAAATAATAAAATGCAGCTGCTGGCAAAGCCATCACCTGTTCCCATCCTTTAAAAAAACACCTTGATCACAGGTGTACACCCACATGTGCTGCTGCTTATCTTGCTTCTTAATAAACATCCCAGTAAAATACATACACCCAATGAAGTTCACACACAACACTGAAATGGGCTATATAATGTCCTTTGCCATACTTCAAAACAACAATAACCAGAAAGCATCCTATCTTAAAAATTAAAATCACACAGAAGACAACTGGAGTGTAGCACATATAAATAACTTCTTGATAGCCTGGTAAGTGTCCAATGATGCTGGAAAAAACCTCAACTACAGTAGCAGGCTCATCTGCCTGTATCTTGGTTCCCATTGGTAAACTTGGACTGTTAGGACTTTTGTTCCACAAACAGAAGAGGAAGTTTTATGAAGCAAACCAAAAAGAAATTTGTTCCTTTCTTCAATAATACTGCATGATGGTAGACACCGGAGAGCAATTTATGGCTGAGCAGAAGATTATAGTGAAAGCTATATACAATGGTCCAGCTGCAACCACATTCACACTGCATGGTGATGCAACTGACCTTTTAGCGGTTAGCAGTAGACTTGCACTAGTACTGTCATGCTGCAGTGTGGGTTGTAACACAATTCAACCCCTTCTTCCTAAACACAGGCATCCTATTTTGCTTCCATCTTCACGGTCCCTTCTCCAGAATCTGTCCACCCAACTCTGTGCATCTTCAAGGAGGGCTACAAAATGTTTTTGAGGGGCTTGCTTTCAAGCATGTGTAGAGCTATTTTAATTTTATAGGTGTATTGAAAGAGCTGGCATACTGTTTTTACATAACTGTACTTTATATTACTTTAGCCTTAGAAAAAGACAAGACAGAAACACCCTGATGCTCCGCTTCCTCCTAACCACCCTTCTCATTCCTGTCACTGTCAAAATATCATTACATTTGCTGATGTGATAAGATGACGTGATGCCCTTTCTTCTGCAAGCAGGAAGAGTATTCTCAGCAACTGTGCCCTGCTTGTGGCAGACCATCTGTGGAAAGGCTTGCCTTTCACCTATTCTGAAATTATTTTGGAACCATCAAATACCTTATTATTCCAGGCTTTAAAACTGATTTTACTGGTCCTATCTACTCTGAATTTTGAGTGCTGTTCTTGTGAATTTTGCTGTTCTTAGTGTGTTTTTGTTAGTTACCCTGATACAGTGGTACCTCAGGTTAAGTACTTAATTCGTTCCGGAGGTCTGTACTTAACCTGAAACTGTTCTTAACCTGAAGCACCACTTTAGCTAATGGGGCCTCCTGCTGCTGCCGCGCCGCCAGAGCACGATTTCTGTTCTCAACCTAAAGCTAAGTTCTTAACCTGAAGCACTATTTCTGAGTTAGCGGAGTCTGTAACCTGAAGCGTATGTAACCTGAAGTGTATGTAACCTGAGGTACCACTGTAACTCTATTGAAGGATTTTAAAAGATAATAAAATTATCCAAGGAACTATTTGGTTTTATTTTTACCCTTTTATCTCCCCAGGGACTCGGTGAGGCAAAAAAGACTAAAACACACACTGGAAATATTGTGGGGTCATGGCAGTTAGGCCAATATTATGCCAATTTATGATTAACCAAGATCACTCTATTATGTGATCAAGCATAGTCAAGCAGAAATTTGACCCTTCTCCTCAATCCAAGCCTAACATTGGCTCTTCCTAAACCCTATCAATACTTGGAGATACCAGTTCCTGCTTCCCATAATATATACCGTATTTTTCGCCCTATAGGACGCACTTTTCCCCCTCCAAAAATGAAGGGGAAATCTGTGTGCGTCCTATGGGGCGAATACAGGCTTTCGCTGAAGCTTGGAGAGCGAGAGGGGTCGGTGCGCACCAACCCCTCTCGCTCTCCAGGCTTCAGGAAGCTATCAGCAAGCCTGGGGAGCCTGCGGGAGTTCCCGCAGGGCTCCCCAGGCTGCGGATATAAGCCTGCCACCCGGCGCGCAGTGCGCCCTGAAGCAGAGCGCCCCTCGCGCCGGGCAGACATCAGCCAGCCCCACAAGCTCGGGGGACAGCGGGGAGGCGCAGCACCGCCATACCGCTGTTCCCCAACCTGGTTTTGGGGGGGAAATAAAGGGGGGATTTCCTTTATTTCCCCCCCCCAAAAAAAACTAGGTGCGTCCTATGGGACGGAGCGTCCTATGGGACGAAAAATACAGTAAATCCATCCCTCCTTTCAATCTAGATATGCAGTCTTCAATCATCTGCTTCCTTCAATTCATATCTAAAAGGGGGCATAGCTCCCTCTGGTGTATATGCCACAGAAAGGCACTAGAGTAAATTGTAAAACACAGTTCCCACAAATTGAGTCTATTCGGCCTCGGCCCAGTATACCTGAGTCTAAACGGCCTCTGCCCAATATACCTGAAGGAGCGTCTCCACCCCCATCGTTCTGCCCGGACACTGAGGTCCAGCACCAAGGGCCTTCTGGCGGTTCCCTCATTGCGAGAAGCAAAGCTACAGGGAACCAGGCAGAGGGCCTTCTCGGTAGTGCCGCCCGCCCTGTGGAACGCCCTCCCATCAGATGTCAAAGAGATAAACAACTATCTGACATTCAGAAGACATCTTAACGCAGCCCTGTTCAGGGAAGTTTTTAATGTGTGACATTTTAGTGTATTTTTGGTCTCTCTGGAAGCCGCCCAGAGTGGCTGGGGAAACCCAGACAGATGGGTGGGGTACAAATAATAAATTATTATTATTATTATTATTATTATTATTATTATTATCCATAAAATGAGACCTCCACTACCCTCAGCTTTCAATACTGGACTTCACAACACCTCTTCTTCCTCATCCACATATACGGTATGTTCCCCTTAGATAAGCTGCTGCTTCCTAAGCCCACCCCCAAATAACACCTTCCCCCAGGTATTGCCCTATGTACAAAAATAGAAAGCTGAGCTCTTTTTCCTTCAATCCACCCTGAAGCATTTCCACATTACATATATGTGACCCAAACACTTCTAATCAGTGGGCCTCTCAGTACATCCTCATCTTGCAGCACATGCACCCAAACATGCACACACTGCACATGCGGTCCTTCTCACATACAGCTCCAATAACACGTGCAGAGGCAAACACACCCTACATAGCCAAGCCCAAGTCATGAGCAGGCTTCAACTATTTCCCTAGGCCCAAACGGCTTTCTTGCTCCAAAGAGCTTTCTTGATCTTCTTTCATACAGCAACAAGTCCCTCTTTAAATTATACACAGTAATGTAGCCATAGACCACTTCACAGGTCCTCAGCTTCCTGCACCCCAGCACCACAGAGCTGACAGACCCTAAAGTTATTCAACGTGCTTTTTCTCCCCCCCCCACACCACCCATGACTCCTTGAGCCAATTCAGAAAGCAGCACAGTCCATTCCAGAGGCCTCTAATCCCCACAGCCCAATCCCAATAATGTCTCACACCCCACAGCCCACTCCACTCTCCTGTGGCTTGCACGTTGATCCACATTGCACATTGATTCCACACCTCTAGGGCCACAAATAACCCTCTCTACTGCCACAGCCCACTCATCGCCTTAAGGAAAGGCCTTTGCTGCAGTTGTGGTGTAGTGGCTGTACAGTGTGAAGACTAGGGCTGGGGAGACCCGAGTTCAAATACCCACTCAGCCATGTAGTTCACTGGGTGGTCATGGGACAATCTCCCAGTCTAACTTGCTTCAGAGCTGTTGTGGGGATAAAACGGGAGCCAAGTGAATGCCACCCTGAGTTGGCTGAAGAGCCATAAATGCCATAAATAGTCTCCCACAACCCAGCCCAACACAGAGCTTTCCTCACACGGTCCAGAGAGAGCAAAGTAGCTGAACCTCGCAAACCCTTCTTGCCCAAGAAAGGGCTTCCAGAGCCTATGAAGACCCCCACACATAAACCCACTCAGCGAACCAGACCCCTATGTCAGGCAACCATCCGCACGCAGAGCCTTGCTTATGCCCCACAGAGTGCTAACCCCATTATACTTTCCACAATCCCCTTTCTTCCATCCCATAGGGTTCCTTTACCCATACAAACACCACCACAGGGAAACCCTCTCCACTTCTAAGAAAGATGCTTCTTTCCTTGCCCCAACCTTACCCAACACAGCCAATATTCTCTAGAATGTGTGAGGAAAGCTATCATGCCCTCTACTTCCCCACCACAGGCTTTCCCCTAACTCCATGCAGCTGCCCACAATGCCACTCGCCACCTGCCTCACTCCATGAGGGAACAGTCCATGGGTTCCTGCAGCCCACAGGGAGATTTCCTGGCACAAGACACAGAGCCCCTTGTGCCTACCTTCTACCCCACTACAGGGACTTTTCTGAAACCATGTAGACAACCAACACCCCCACCCCAACAGGGATAGTTCCCCTGTTCCTGCAACCCTACAGAGCTGAAAATCCCCTCTTGCTTTTCAAACACAACCCAGTACTTAGTCCCAGGCACCTTCAGACCTTGCTTATGCCTCACAGAGAGCCAACACTTAGCACCCCTTCTTCCACTCCCACAGGGCTCAGTGATGCCAGCCCTTCCCACTCCTCCTGCTTCTTCCCCCAGGCAAGCCGCCCCCCAGCCTTCTTTGAACACCCCAGAGAGCACCTCTGGCAGCCATGTCTCATGCCCCCTTCTGCCAATGCAGGGGTTTCCCCCACACGCCCCTGCAGTCCCAACTAGCACCCAGACATTCAGCACCACTAGGACCCATGGGTGTAGGCAAGGTTTGTTAGGGGAAACAGGCTTCACGTTACGGGGGCAGGCTTCATGTTGGGGGGGGGGCAGAACCCCACTTAGTTATTTTTATTTACTTGTTGGGTGGCAATTTGCCCCTGTCCCTCTTAGCTATGCCCATGCTAAGACCTCAGCCACCCCCTGCAGCTCAAGCCATGCAGCCCCACAAGCACCCCAGCTACCTACCCCTGCACCCCTAGACCACCCCCAAGCCATGCAGCCAAACTACCCACCCCCTAAAGCCCTAGACCACCCCCCAAGCCATGCAGCCAAACTACCCACCCCCTAAAGCCCTAGACCACCCCCCCAAGCCATGCAGTCAGGCCACCCACCCCCTAAAGACCTAGACCACCCCACCAAGCCATGCAGTCAGGCCATCCACCCCCTAAAGACCTAGACCACCCCCAAGCCATGCAGCCAAACTACCCACCCCCTAAAGCCCTAGACCACCCCCCAAGCCATGCAGCCAAACTACCCACCCCCTAAAGCCCTAGACCACCCCCCCAAGCCATGCAGTCAGGCCACCCACCCCCTAAAGACCTAGACCACCCCCAAGCCATGCAGTCAGGCCACCCACCCCCTAAAGACCTAGACCACCCCACCAAGCCATGCAGTCAGGCCATCCACCCCCTAAAGACCTAGACCACCCCACCAAGCCATGCAGTCAGGCCACCCACCCCCTAAAGACCTAGACCACCCCACCAAGCCATGCAGTCAGGCCATCCACCCCCTAAAGACCTAGACCACCCCACCAAGCCATGCAGTCAGGCCATCCACCCCCTAAAGACCTAGACCACCCCACCAAGCCATGCAGTCAGGCCACCCACCCCCTAAAGCCCTAGACCACCCCCCCAGGCAATGCAGTCAGGCCACCCACCCCCTAAAGACCTAGACCACCCCAAGCCATGCAGCCAAACTACCCACCCCCTAAAGCCCTAGACCACC